AGACTGATACATAGTGATATATGTGACTGGATTTAAGAAGTTACATGGATCAGCTGACTTAGTGCAATTCAATAAAAGGCCTTTCTGACTGATAAGAACAGAAGGAGAAATAATGGTATTTGAAGAAATAACATTACAGTAAGTACTATTTCTATAGTTTCTCTTTGTTCCTACATTATAATCTGCTTCAGCATGAGGTCTGCTCACCAGAAAGGATATCAGCTTCATCCATGAACTGGGTGGTGAATAAAATGACTCGACCTGCTTTGCGTTCATTCAGGAGAGACCACACTTGGTGTCTAGAATATGGATCCAATCCAGAAGTTGGCTCATCTAGTAATAATACCTACAGTAGGCATTTGATTGCATATCTTAATTCAACATATGATTAAAACAACACATAGCATTCATTGTTGATGTGCAATTTCCCATTATGAAGACACAAGAATATTGCAAAGTTGTATGGATTTTGAAATAACATTTAGAAGATTTTATTTTTATAATAGAAAATTCTATTAAAATTATTGCAAATTTCATTTAACTTGCAAAAATCAAGAAAATGTTAAGAAAGGGGTGAGACAATAAAGGTGAAAGAAAGGGAAACCATATCAAAATTAGAGATTCTGATTATTTAGGGATTTCCATGATTACTATGCAAGTCATTGATGAGGATTAAAGCAATGCATTCATAAAAAAAGCATACTTAATGGTATATGTACAATGGGACTTTTTACCTAATAGTGGGTTTACCTGTGGTTCTCCTAAAAGTGTAATACCAAGAGATAATTTTCGTTTTTGTCCACCACTTAAATGATTAGCTTGGGTGTTTTGAATGGCCTTGATGTCCAAGAGTGTCAACAATTTTTCAACCTATAAAATACATACATTTCAATTATTTTGCACTTCTTACATAGAAATTCAGTCTCTTAACTGAATGAAAGAAATGGACAGGTAGTCCATATATTTTATATACTTAGTTTGTACAGTATGTTTGGATCTTATTTATGTTGCTGCTCATCTTTGAAACATTTTAAAATGTTGTTGACTATTTAGCTTGAATGTATTTAGTTGTATTGACCTTCCAACAGGTAAGTAATATTTTATTGTAAATCAATATCAAGCACTGAAAGATGAATTCTTCATTCAGGCAGACCAGATACCTGAAATTTACGTGCCCATAGTTTGCACACTCTTTTCCTGAAGAAGCCAAATTATATTCACCAAATGTTTGTACTTCAGGGTTTTCTTGGCTTCTTTCCCAAGGTTTAAAAATAAGCTTTAGCTTATTAATCTTATTTTCATCATTTCCCTTGACCGTTAGTTGGTCAGATTCTTGTAGAGAGTTTAAGTTTGCAATAAATCTTTATATTCATTTGAACTGCCTGAATCTTCTGACTTCCCTGGCATTTGACATTAAGTTGATTATCTACACATTTGTCCTACTGATTCCAAAGCATAAGTGAAGTTTTCTAGAATGGACTGGCTAAATACAATCAGAGGAGAATAATGTTATCAAATCTAAAGGAACGGTGTCCTACAATGGAAGAAGTGAAAAGCGGAAAATGTAGAACATAACACCTGTGCAACACAAATCTGTGCAGGACAAGATAATATGACTGAATCCATTATTACCTCTTTTTCTACAGCATTGGATGGTATCCCTTTTATTTTAGCAAATGTTTTTAAGTTTTCTCTCACTGTTAAAAATTCAAATTGAATATTCCATTGTGGACAGATAGCACTTATTTCCCAAATCTTTTCCATATGTTCCTTTTCACATACATTGTACTTGAATATGGATGCAAAACCTGTAAGCAATAATAAAATGATTACATAGAGAATTTTCCAATTAAACAGGCTGCTATTACTTTAGAACAGGTTGAATTGAAAGACTGTTTTTCAAATGGGCTTTTCTGTTGTTTATCCAATTTATTATAATATATGCTATTAATGACTGTCTTCCTAAGGCTAGTTTTACCCTTAGCATTAAAGGGGATTGTTACCCCCTACCCTGCCCCAACAGGTGCTGGTCTGTACTGCAGTCTGGGAGCTCTCCAGGATAACATGGAGAGGAAAAGCTTTCTCCAGCTTCCCTGCTCCACCAGATGAAGCCATTCTTGATGCAGTATACTCCAGTTTCCATTATTCATCTATTCACCTAACATTAGGATGCTACGCTTGGAGCTGCATTTAAAACAGTGGGAGCTTCAACTCAGGATTAACTCCTGGTGACTCCCTTGACTGGTCTTTACAGTTTTCCTGGTAATGTTTCAGAAGTGATTTGCCCTTACCTCCTTCCTAGAGCTGAGAGGGAGTGGCTGGCCACTGGTTACTGACCTGGCTTTGTGTGGTAGGAGTACAAGTCCCAGTCTTCCGATTCCTATCGTGCCTTAACCAGTACATCAAACTAGCTCTCCTTTAAAGACTACTGGGAAGAAAATTGCTAAACATTTTTCAAAGAGACATCAATATAAATCTGCATAATGGAATAACAATATAAAATGTTGTGTCAGTACTAAAATAATACAGGTAGTCCTTGAGTTACAATCACAACTGAACCCAAAATTTATGTTGCTAAGTGAGAATTTTTTCAGAGAGTTTTGCCCCATTTTACAACTTTTCTTGCCACAGTTGTTAAGTGAATCACTGCAGTTGTTAAATTATAACACGGTTTGAAGGGAATCTGGCTTCCCCATTGACTTTGCTTGTCAAAAGGTCATGAAAGGTGAGCACATGAACACTCCAACCATCATAAATATGAACCGGTTGTCAAGCATCTGAATGTAAATCACATGACCACGGGGATGCTGGTCATGTGCCACTTTTTCGGTGCCATTGTAACTTTGAACGGCCACTAAATGAACTGTTGTAAGTCAAGGACTATCTGCATTTAACTAAGACTATAACATCTAATCTATGTTGTTCAACTTATAAACTGATTAAAATAATTACTGCCTGATATATGAAGCTTCACAAATCTAGGAAATCATAACAAAATCACAATCTTATGTTAAAAAAACTTTGAATTTAGAAAAATTGAAAATTGACTTTTACAGCTTCATGGAAAATAAAACTTTTATAGTCATAACCATTTATAGATGATACTTCACTAGAGAACAACAGCAGAAAACAGCTATTGTGGTTTAATAATCACAATAGTTGATTATTATGGAAAACCAGAAATGGGACTAGTCTGGGCCAAGATCAGATCCAACAGGGCTGCACTTTTCTAAACGTACTTTGAGATTTGGCTGGCATTTGAATTCATTTCAAAATTTTCATTCTTACCATCAGATGGTTTGGAAAGTCCACTGAGGATGTTTAGCAATGTAGTTTTTCCAGATGTGCTATGACCAAGTATTGCAGTGATCTGACCTTCATAAATATCCAGGGACAATCCTAATATATAAAGAGGTCATGTTTGCTGTATATGATAAATGATACATTGAGGCAACTAGCACCGAGTTCTTCACATTTTTTATCCTGAATTTAATAATTGTTATTGATTCTAGTGCCAGTTATTTTTTCTTTTTGCTGGCACTCATGCAAACAGTTTTCCCCAGGACTTCCTATCAAGATGTGGGAGGAAATTAAACAACAATTTGCCTTTCCCTTTTCAACCAATGCCCAGAAGGCTGATGGAGAATGTAGAGATGAAGGTGTAAAAGCCCTGGAGATTGGTCAGAAAGATGAGCTTTGAAAGTTACTTAAATGTAATTGTTAAATTTAAAGCATCTCAGGAAGCTTTCTCTACAAGAAGGAGAGCAGAAATGCCTGTGTTAGGTGCTATCTTTTCACATGAGCCACAATAGTTTGGAATACCTTCTTTGTCCCCAAAATCCCATATATTAATAAAATCATGTCAGTTTACTGTATCTCATGAATTGCTGACATTTTGATCCCTGAGATATCATGTGAGGTCAGACAAGAATTATAATGTTTTATACATTTACTGTTTTCTGGCCAAACATCTAATGAGATTTCATGCGAAGAACCCAAACATTTAATATAAATAGGTAATCTTAAGTTGTGCCCATTTTATTTAAAAAATGATCTAACTTTCAAGCTTCAATGATGGTATTTACGTATGTTATAGATGCTCTGCTTCCCAAATGTTTTGTGCTATTTCTGTCCTATTTCATAGAATCAAAGCTATAATATATATTCTAAAGTTCAGGTATCTTACCTTTCAAAGCTTCTTTTTCTGTGCTTTTCATTTTATAATTTTTTTTAATATTATTTAGTCTAAAAAATAGTAAAATAGTTATTTGTCAGTATATTGTGGAATTTTTCTTACAAATATCAGAATCACTCAAAATATCATGTTGAAATAGAGAATATTAATTTAGCATTCAATATGTTATAGTAAATATTAGACATGACATACATTTTCCTCTGGTATATGTTCAATAGACCTAATTATATAAATATAAAATATAATATAAAAAATAATAAAAGACAATACAGATAGTCTTCAGGCTAGGATAGCACATTGCTAAATGATGTGGTTGTAAAGCTTAATACCAGGATCATAGAGGTCATTAAGTGAGGACTTCACATAACATGATGTGGAAGAGGGAATTTCAAGTAAGCAGACCAGGCAGAAACTGAGGGTTGGTACTACAGAGCAGATGCAGATGAGGGGAAAAAGCAGTGGGAATGCAAGCGACTTGTAACCTCCTATAGGCTTCCCATTTACTTTGCTTGTAAGAAGCCATTGTGGAGGATTGAAATGGCAATCACGTGACCTAAAGATGCTGCAACCATTAAAATGGTGGCCAAGTGGACAAATTGTGATCATGTAACTTCAGAGTTGTTATAACAGGTGCAATTGCAAGGACCAGTCATAAGTCCACCTCATTCACTATTGTCACAACATTGAATGGTTGCTGAACAGATGGTCATAAGCCAAAGACTACCTGTTGCAGCAGAAATGTATTTCTTACAGCATATTCTCCTTATGAATGAACCTCCCACAAAGTCCTCTGGCAACCTATAAGTAAAAGAAATTTATAGTATGCTCATACTATTGAATGTCCAGATTCAATGTGTCTTACCTTATGGCTTCCTTCCCATCGAATTCAGGGGGCACAGGCTCAGTATTATCACTGAAGATACTCCCATGACTCCATTCACTTGTAGGAACATTCCCAGTATAGGGGCTTTTTGGTTTACACCAATAGGTCTTCTTCAGAAAAAACAGTGGAGGATAAGGCACCCCATATTTGTCTAAAAAGTATTTTACAAACAGCAAGTTGTCATAAATCCAAACTAACTGTAACTTCTTAATGTTCACATTGCACATACAGTGGAGTACAGTGCTGGTCTTTATTGTTCTTTTGTAGTATTTTCTTAACTGTGAACCTGACAATAAACTGAATTGATGCAGTCAGTTCAGCTACCTACCTAATAAATCATAACCTACATCGAAACTTAAAAAAAAAAGAGGAAAATAGACCAAAGCAACAGGCAGGAATATACAGTATAATTCATTTGAGAATTCTTGCTAATCTTGCTACCTATATCATTAGCAGACAAATTTGCATGTAGCACTGGTATAACTAAGGCTGGTAACCTAGATTTTGTAGTCTGAGAGTCCTTGTGAGTCAATAGTACAATCATCACTATTTTAACTGAGTCTATCCACTTTTCTGTTGGTTGTTCTCTTTTTTCTTGTCTTTGACCTTTTCCAGAAATAGAATCATTTCCACAAACTTAGGTCTTGGTGAAATATGTCTAAAGTAGGACAATATGAGCCTGACCTTTAGGCCTCAAGTGAGTATTCTGAATTGATTTGTTTGTTGATTCATCTGTTTGTTTGTTTGTTTGTTTGTTTCGTTGCCTGTTCATGGTACTTTTCAGGTCCCTTCTCTTAACACCAAAGTTCAAAATTATTAGTATTCTTCCTAACCTGCTTCTTAAAAGTTCAAATTTCACTTCCATAGAACTTGTGCATTTGTGTATCTTGGTAGTAAATTTACTAAAAATAGGAACATGAATAGAAATATTTTAAGAGGTGCAAATGCTGGTAGAAAAGTATTTGGTGGAATAATTCTGTTGTGAAGATGCTTGTCAAGAGAAGCAGAAATTGCTAAGTATAAAAGCGGGTTTCTACCAATTCTGTAGATATAAGTGGGAGCTGGATATGTCAGGAGAAACAAACACAGTGCAAATGTGTTACTTAAGAACTGTGAATGGTGAAACAAGAGACTAAATGAGACCCAGAAAGAATGGGTGCTGAATGTTTGCGAATTGAATGCGAAGTACTGATTTGTATGAAAGCAATGCATTGGAATTGTTGTAGGGAAAATAAATGGGAATGGAATTGCAACACAAAAATGAGAAGCCAATGGAATCGATGAGCTCCACAAAATGACTGAGGTTTAGAAAACAAAAGGGAAGTTTTCCTTCTCTCTTGTTATCTACCTTTAATTTCATTTGCTTACTCTACACCATTTCTCTTCTTTGCATAGCATTGGTTTCTTTAAAACACTCTACAACTCATACATGTTTGCACAATATGTGAACAAGACTGTTGTATTTAGGGGCTTCAGATTAATTTCAGTCAACTTAATCTAAAGAAAGATAGAATACTTGCTGTCTCAACTTTGTTATTTTCCTCCATTTTTCAGGCCACAGTTTATTCCTAATTCAGAAATGATGCTTCTGAGATAGTGAAAAGCAACTTGAAGAAATGTGGTCTTGAAACTATAATATATTCACAGTAATATTCTTACCAGGCACAACCTTATCAAAATAGAAAGCCAGCAGCATGTATAAGATGCTGTCAATAAGCAAGCAATAACCATATGGTTCCAACATTAAGTCAGTAAAATCAAAGGTCCTTCCATATTTTTGAAAATAGAGAACCTGCATGAAAAGAACAAAGGGTTTTTAAAATAAAAAATAAAAAATCAAATTCTCATAGGAAAGAACAAAGAATTGAAATGAAACTAACTGTTTAGCAACTTAAACTATTGTCTAACCCTCTTGGAATGGAAGCATGGGTGTCAGCAGGATGAAGGAAGGATTAGAATAGAATGACATTTTGGGTCCATGTTCAGTTTGCTATGTGTTTCTATCAAAATATCTTTGGAAGAGAAATATCTATGCCACTAGAGTGAGTGTCAGATGTGTTTCCTGTTAGTTGCATCATGATTAGGAATTTTAAGTAAAATACTGTGCATTACTCTACCTTTGAAAGCCCAGCACCAAAAGCAAATGGGCAGAAGATGCTCAAAATCAACTCCAAACTTGGAGGTATCAACCTGATTGTTGTAGTAAAGTTGAGGGCTCCCAAACAAAAAGTGAAAATGAAAATAACAAAGCTAGTGGTTCTGGGTTTCTTTAGGAGAGAGCTCAACATGAAACAGAGACATATCTGCAAAAGAAAAAATTCCCAGTTAGTACAGTCTCTACAAATGTGCAAGATACAATAGAATTAGTGTATTATTACTCTGTACTTATATGTAACTGTTGCACCCTGCACTAAAAAGGTAAATTGTTGCAATAGATACTTGCAGGCCAGGATTCAAACTGAATTGAATTAATAGGAAGACAGTGCATAATGCTTTCCCGTAGCCATGTTTCCCAAAAGGTTATTATATCTCTAAAGAAGAGGAGAGAGAGCCCAATCAAACTGTAAATGCTCAAGATAAAGAGAGTTAAAAAATCAGCAGTAGGGGGAATCTGGCTCTAAGTGCTGGGGCATTCAGACAACATGTCCACAAATGGAACCTGGCACCTATTTTTGCTTCCTACTCTTTCCACAGGCTCCTAATGCTACCATGCTCTTTAATTTTGAATGTATCTATTCAGCTTCATTGCTCTGTCACTCAATACTGATAGTTGAACTTTTTAACCTAGAACCATAGCTATCGGACTTCATTCTCTTTGGAAACTTCTGCTAGATAACAACTGCATAAGAATGTTCCCCCACATATATTTATTTTAGAGAGTGTCCATTTCCCCAACCTTGCCCCAACTATCACAAGCTGGAGAAAACTCCAATCTTCTTATCCCATGTGGGGATCTTCCTCAAGAAACTACTCCAATAAAACTTGCAAGACAGTCTTCAGAGAGCATCAAAGACCTACATATTCCATTTGTGGTAATTATAATGGTAAGGGCAACAGCAAATTAATATTCAGTCAAGTGATACTCAGGATATCCTTTTCAAAACTAAGGAAGTAACAGGTTCTCTTTAACCAGCCTAAGCCAGTTAGCAGACTGCAACATTTGGGATGGGCTGAAAATTCTCAATAAACATTATAAACATTTAATAGTCATTTAATCTCAAATTTATCAAGAAATGAATGATGTAGCCATATTTTCAATATTCTCTGGAAAGATGCAGTCAACTTATCAATGAATACAAAATAGAGAGGTCAATGAATACAAAATAAGTATACCTTTTCCTATCTTTCATCTAACCAAATAAAAAAAAGTTTCTGCTAAAGGAAATAATCTGTCCAGGTGTGCTTTCATTGAACTGGTATCTCCAGGATCTCTCAAACTAGTCCCATGTTTGGGTACTTTATTAAAAAGAGAGAACACTTGAGAAATAAGTGTTTTAATTTAATATTTAAAAAGTTTCTTCTTAACCTGGTCCAGAAACTGTCCTCCAGCAGAACAGAAATATTTATTGCATCAAACATATCACTTTAACTGAGAAAAGGAAAGCTGAAGACTTACAGATGAAATGCCATAAAGGAAAAGCAGGACAAATAAGATAGAATTGCTGCTTAGGTAAAAATATGTAGCTTTCAGATAAAATGTCAGTACCACGCTTGGAATTGAGATGTATATGGTGTACAGCAAACCCCAGGAGAGCCTATGAAGAAAAAGACATTGTTAACCTTCTTGTTAACATTTATCTGATTTTTCTCCCCTTTCCCTAAATAATTTCTCCAGTTTAGCTCAATATTATGGTCCAAACCAGGAGAAAAACATTGATTGCAGGAAAGGCTTCTCTTGTTCAGTGAATCCGAGGCTCTTATCATTAAATGTCATTTGGCAATCATGTCTTGTTAAGAACAGGAGCCAAATATGAAGAAGAGTGAAGGCCTTTGATACCCTTCTCATGACCCCTTGTCTACACCAATTCGAGGAATGACAGAAAAATAAAATTATTATTATTTTCTTTAAATGTGTTGGCTGTCCAACACCAAGGAGCCAAGGATGACTCTTTAAAATAAAGATAAAGCAGATGTCTCCCTCAACTCTTCCCAGATTGCTGAGTCTTTGGTGAAACAATGGTAGATGTAATCAAAGAATATCCACATAAGAATATGCTTTGTGCGTCTGTTTCTTTTTCTATTCAAAGCGAGGACTTACTGGCTCTTGTTGAAAACTTCTTTTGTCAACTAAAGGAAGCATGGTATATAAAATCATACATTGCAATGTCCTACCTGTCAATGAATACTTCAGCTTCAACCATAACAACACAAGAGCACACAATAGATACAAACTCAAAGTTAACCGCACCAAACTTGATTGCAGGAAATACGACTTCAGCAATAGAGTGGTCAATGTCTGGAATACTCTACCCGACTCTGTAGTTTCTTCCCCAAACCCCAAAAACTTTAACCTTAGACTGTCTACTATTGACCTCACCCCTTTCCTAAGAGGTCTGTAGGGGGCGTGCATAAGCGCACCAACGTGCCTACCGTCCCTGTCATATTGTTTCTCTTATTCTTCTTTTATTTTTCTTATATGTACCCATTTCATGTATTCACAACTATGTATACACTTATACTTATTATCTTGTAAACAATTGGCAAATCAAATAAATAAATAAATAAATAAATAAATAAATAAATAAGCTAGAAAACAGTTCCATGGCTATCAATTTTTTGGCATCTTTTTTGCTTAGACAGAGGAGTGACATCTTGGGCT